AAATGCCTCTGCTTTTAAAGAAAAGCCCGTTTGTTCTTCCCACAATATTGGCTATGGTCCTGGAAATTCCCTCTTCCTTGTGCTAAGTATATCAGCTTGAGAAATAGAAATTGAATATAGTTTATTGCCTTGAGAAATAGAAACTGTGTATAGTTTCAGTTATCCAAGCTGATTGTAATTGACTTAACTCAGTCAGCAAGGGGCTATTCCCCATTCCAAAGTTTGTTTTACAGAAGACTTTTGGTACTTCTGTAAATTTTGGTTTTCCCAGACCTGCTGCTTATCTCCTGCTCGTGCATAAGTAGTGCCATTTTGCTTACATAAGTCATAAGGCACTCCTGGTTAGCCAGCAATGACCCTGGAAATAGAACGACAGCACTATTCATTGGATCACCTTTCAGTGTCCGTTTCTCTGTACCTTTCAACACATTTCTCAACAGAGTTCTCCAAATGGCAGCACATCTGCACCACCACAAAATCCTCTCCTGTACAGGACGCCTTTGAAATATTCAGCACAAAGCAATCTGCCTGTATTTAGCATCCTCACAGCCCATCTTCCAGCCCAGCAGATGAGAGAGAACAATTTGCATAGGTATATTGCACGCACACCAGTACTGTAGTAAGTCAATTGGGCATGCCTTCTGCCCCTTCCCCTAGCTAAGGCTACTAAAGATATTCCTCTACTGCATACTCACATGAACACTTCCAAACATAATCTTGGAATCACTCTACCAATTACAGTTGGTATTTTTATAACCATCTAAGCCAGTGGTTTAAGGGGTTCCTAGCCAGAGAGGAGTCAGGAGTAGCTTATCATTCCATTCTTCTGGGGGCGCTCTGGGACTGTGCAGCTTGGCCAAGGCCACATAGGCTGACTCTACGCCCATGAGGAACAGCAGGGAATCGAACCCCCAAACTCTGGCTCCACAGCCAGATATCTAAGAACTATACAGAAATGGTCAAAGAGTTACAGGGGAAATACTGGTGTTGTGACCAGACTGTATGGAAGCGTACTCACATGTGCGCATCACAAAGAACTCCTTCATAAATGACAACAATGGACCTTGTGACACCTTGAAGATTAACATGTTTTTCTTTAGTGTTTGTGCAACAGAAGACTAACATGGCTACTCCCTCTGGAAATTATATACAGTACTGTATACAAACACACACTCAGATGCAATACAGTACTATAAAATCTGCTTATCTTAGGTCTAATACATCGGAATGCTGGAAGCCAGAGCAAAAATAATATACCAGCACTGACAGCTAAGCTAAAGAAAATGTGGAACCAACTGGCCACCACTTGACAAACGTCATCTATTGTTAATGCTGACATTGCCTAAATCCTGTCCAGATCTTACAAGGTTGACTGTTTTGCCAAGTCTCACAATCTAAAAACCGGAAGCAGCAACAAGTCCCATAGGTAGCCAAGCAGGAACCATGTAAAGCACATCTGTGCACTGTATGTGACAATTCTGGACAAAAAAGAGCAGACAGAGGGGGGGAAATCATTCATTTGAAATGTGGTGCTCGGTGAGAGTTTTGTGGATACTCTGGACGGTCAGAAAGACAAGTGACTCCTAGATCAAATCAAGCCTTATCTATACTGTATATGGAGGCGAAAATGCTGAAGCTGGCCTGTCCTATTTCGGGCACATTATGAGGAGGCATGATTCTCTGGAAAAGACAATAATGCTGGGAAAGGTTGAAGGTGGCAGAAAAAGAGGAAGACTGAATACGAGATTGTTTGAATCCCTAAAGGGAGCCACAGGCTTGCATTTGTAAGAACTGAGCAGGACTGCTGAGGTCAGGACATACTGGGTTACCATGGATTGGGGATGACTTAATGGCACATAACAACAAGAACATACACTACCAAATGACTCATATAAACTTTTAATTTAAAGCCTGTCAGTGCTTTACTGTAAAACTAGAACTTGAGAAAGGTTGGAGGATCGTGGAATTTCTCAGCATTCAAAGAAAAACATTAAGACAGCATATAGCTCCCCTCGCAGAGTCCAACTTCACCTCCCTACCCACCAACTCTATTTCCTTTGGACCCGCTCAGATCTTATTAAAGGGACTTCTAGAAGATGCAGATATAGTTCTGCTATGCCTAGCCCCCACCCTGACAATCAAATTGGCCAAGATTCTGTTGCTTTATGTAGTAAATTGCACCAGAATAGGCCCATCGGATCAATTAAAATTTAGGGAACCAGCTCCTATTGAGTCAAATGGGCCTAATCTAACTGAAATTTAAGAAAGTCAGTTAGAGTAGGCTCATTTGAATCAAGAGAACTGAGAGTAACTAACTCACCACATCCCCACTGATTCAATTGCCTACTCTTGTGCAATCTACTACACTAAGCAACAGGATTTGAGCTATTATCTCATGCTGGAGATAGCTTGTTTCAGGACCAGATGTTGATCAGAAGTAGCAGAAAAAGTTGATATTCCTTTCTGCAGCCACTAGCGGATGCCAGGAGGCTTTCTTTTCCCCAGGGAAAAATAAATAAAATGGAGTGGTATTCAAGTGGATCTTGAGACTTGCAGAAGTTGCCCACACCTGCTATAACCAAAAGCGTACTTGCTGCCTACTAGAACCAGCTCCTGCTAGACTAATTAACAGTCAACATACTGTATACATAGGGCTCAGCTGCAAAATGTATTATGGGATCATTGATCTCCAGATGTTAAACACATATTCATAAATTTATACACTAAGAAACTTGTTAATATATAAGCTTACTTTTTTTGACCAGACATTCTAAATAGGAGCCCACTTTAACTCACATATATTGTAATAATGCATGCACCATTAGTGCTACAACAGTGAACGCTGGCTGCCTGAAACTTTGAAGCAACATTAACAAGAGCTTCCAAAGGGTGTTACAGGTCACCAGTGAAACAACTTATGGATTCTAACCAGCAGCTCTTACTTTCAAACAGGCCTTCTCCCCCCTAACATCTACACAGAATAGCAAATTATAATTCCTTCTCTTCTGGCTACTGAGGAAATATTTATTCATCAAAATGTTTCTCAACTGCCCTTTACCTTTACAGCTACCAGGACAGTGTTCAACTATAATGAAACCGTATAAAAACAGATTGTCCTAACAAAAGCAATGGAAAGCAGATGGAAACAATTGATTACTTGCAGATTCCTACACTCCAAAATGTGTGGGATTTTGTTTTTTGTTGCTTTTTGGTTGTTGCTACCGTGTTTCCCCAAAAATAATATCCACGCTTGTGTGCTGCCCATTTGGAACGGGCAGCATTCATGGACATAAGGTTGCCTTCACAAACTAGAGAACAAAAAGATTTTTTTCCAGAAAAATAAATTAATCTTTATTGGACAATAACTTTGAAACAGGTTGCAGAGAATGTTTTATTCTGAAACGATAGTGAAGGACTTGCTTAAATAACAGCCTCAGCATCAGATATAAGCAAGGAAGACGGACAGAATATCAATACACTACAGTTAGAGTAATTTGATGCCATTTTATCTGCCATGGCTCCAATGAAATCCTGGGATTAGAAGTTTAGTGAGGGGTGTAGAAGTCTCTCTTGAAGATTTCTGAGGGACTCCCCCTGAACTGTGTAGCAGAAAATGCTAAATACCTCACCCAACTACAAATCCCAGAATTCAATAGCATGGTCCCATGGCAGATTAAGCATCTAACATACATAACTGGGTAGCACAGATATACTCAGAGACAGAGAGCAGCAAAGAGGAAGCAAGCATGTCTGCTTGAGAAACAAAGGCAGCACAAACAGCTCGACCCCTGATTAATCCATAGTCTAAAAAATACTAGAGGCTTCAGATGGGAAAAAAGGCCTCAGTCTGACAAACAACAAAAGAAGGGTTCTGTAAATTAAAGATATTAAAAAAAACCTGTTTCTTTCCTTTTCCTTTTTTAAAAAAGTAATCATTAAAATTATTTTCTAGCTTTACATTTAAAAAACCCACAAAGATACCAGTGGTTTATATTACAGAGGAAAATGCAATATGATTTTGTGGCACAGAAAACACAGTTTGAAGTAAAAGGAGGTGGCAGTAATTAGCAATACTCTTTTGATTTCCGTATCAAAATTGAGGGTGACAAATACTTCATACAGAAGTAATTTCATAACTCTTAGCACAGCAACCACAAGGGGGTTTGGTGCTTTCAGAAAAGGTCGGGGGTGAGGGGGGATAATCTATTCAAAAAACATTTTCTTGGCAACGCTATACATTCTGCCCTGAAAGTCCAGCGGATGGGAATGCTCAGTCAGCTTCTCCCTCAGGTTTAACAGCAGGGACGTTTTGTCAGTTGGTAGCTGCCCCAAAGATTCCATTTCTCGATTGCTCAGCTCATGTCCAGCACCAACTGACGTGCTGCTCTCCACCACAGGTGTGTGTCCATTGTCCCATCCTTCTATCTGTCCAACTCTCTTTGGAGTCTCATCTCCTATGCTATCCTTGTCCATATTTTCTCTCTCACCAACTCTGTCACATCTGGAGTCTCTAGCCTCCAAGTATGCTGATGGAGATTCTCTCTCTCTCTCATAATTTGGGACTTCACAACTCCAGGAAACGACGTTGTCCCATCCTAAATAGTCCTGGATTTCAGCAGCTTTATCACTGTCACTGTCAATTGTAATCACAACAGGAGAAGCCATTGGAGAGGAGCCGAGGTGGCATTTGTATGGCTTCTTCTCCCTTCTTTTCCTTTTGGGTTTTGTTTCACAAATTATCTCCACGCTTGGGCTTCTGGACACTCTTTTCCTCTTTCTCTCTGAGGTATCTGCCTCACATGGACTGTCCAAGAAGCTAGATGCTCTTTTGTAAGAGTCCGGGCACTTTGGCAAAGGTTTCCCAAAGGTACTGCCTTCTTTTGGAGAAGAGGCCTCTTTGTTTCCCCTGTCAAACCTCTCCAGGTGACGGGTCTTGTATTTCTTTTTCCCACTGGGCTTCTCGGATCTTGTCCTGTCACATCCTCGAGGAGGACTGTGAGATCTGCTTCTTGATCTGCTTCTTGATCTGCTTCTTTCATAGTAGTAATACCGACTTCTGCTACGGCCTCTTGGACTTCGAAGCTTTCTCCGTTCAGAGAAGGAGTCTAATGCATAGTCTGGGTTAGGAGATTGTCTTGAATCCTGAGCCCGCCTCCTGTACGATGACTCGTAGTCTTCCTGCAGTCTATTCCTGCTGTACACGGTGGACTCCCAATTGTACTTGCTCTGGAAGTCGCCCTCTCCAAAGTAACTGTCACTCTCCTTCCTCTTGGGACTTCTGTAGTCGTCCTTGCTTTGAGACCGTGACCTGCTTTGCTCTCGGGATTCGATGCTTTCACTGCTCAGGGAAAGGGTTTGGCTTTTACCAGATAGACTCTTGTCATGAGTTCTGGACCTCTTTTTATCCTTCTTGTGCTTATGTTTGCTACCATCTTTTTTTTTCTTGCGCTTTTCCGTGCTATGATGCTTCCGCTTACTTTTCAGGCCATGGCGCTCTCTGTGAGAATGCTGTGCACGGGACTCAGATTTCCGAGTCTTGGATAAATCATAGCCTTCTCTCTCTGTAGGTGAACTCTGTACCCAACTAGGCTCTCTCGTTTTAGTTGCGTCTTTGTCAGTCCTTCTGGATTTTTTTTTCATTTGAGGCAGCCATGTTGCTGGTATAACTAGGACTACCATCCCGTGACCCCACAGAGAATGGCGATGCATGGCCACTTGCATCTGTATCATTAAAACTGAGGTATTGGATGGGCTTCGTTTTCTTCACACCTTCACTTTTCCCATCATCAATTGATTCCTCAGAGTCTGAAGACAACTCCACAACTTCAGGTGTCCTCTCTGCCAGTGGCTTCACATACCCAACAATTACACAGTTGTCAGACGAATCACAACTGTCCCCATTCATCTCCACAGGAGCTGGCAGCTGTGCCTGCAAATCTCTTGTATTTGTGGAGGGCTCTTCCTCAGAGCTTTCTGAAGTGTCCAAAGAAGTAGACAGAGCGGCACGGACCTGCTCTGAGCTCAAGTAAGATGGACCGGGTGTTTCATCATCCCAAGGGGCCTGACCAATATCAGTTGTGAAGGCATTATGTTCTGCTTGCTGGGAACCCACATCATCTGGAGAGATTGTAATAATGGAGGACTCGGAATGGCTGCCTTCTTCACGTGATGGAGCTGGACAGTCATAATTTGCATGCTGATCATATGCCTCTATGTTAAAAGGGCTTCTGACATAACTGATAAACTCATGTAAAAAGTGATCTGTGTAATGGAGTAAAAAAGGTTTCAAATCATCACCAAACGCTGGGCTCTCTAGGTCGTACCTTGTCATGTTACTCATGATGATATGTTGTACAATATTGACTAGAGACCCATGAGCACCGAACAGGACTGTGAGTTCCCGTTTTAGCCACGGGACCAGCCTGTGAAGACAGGCAGGATTTCTACGAAAAAATTCAGCTGATATATCTCTGTAGCGCCCTCCATCTTCAATGCTTCGGACACGTGTTCCAGAACGATACAGAGCTCCTCGGAAGCTAATGATTTCCTGTTCCTGAATTTGTCGCATTGATCTGCCCTCTAAGCTAGCCTGTCGCCTTGACTGAAGTCTTCTGATCATTTGACTTATTTCTTCATCTCGCTGTCTGGTGGTCTGTCCTGATAAACCTTCAAACAAAATCCCATTATCAGGCGGAGGTGCTGTCCTTCGAGAAGAGGAGCTTCTTCTGGGATAACCAGATGCACGGCGTTCTCTTGTCAAAGTTGTCCGGTAACGGAATCGCCTTCCATCAGGATTAGCAAAGGAGTCTATTTCTGAAGGCCTTACTCTGTACACCTTAAAATCATCTTCGGACCTCATACTATGTACAATGGAATGAAAAGGCTGTTTGCAGAGAGGGCATTCTGCTTTGTTTTTGGACCACTCCTGCACACATCGGAAACAGAATCGATGCCAACAATGGTCCAAATAAGCCGTGTTTTCAAACCGGTCCAGGCAGATTGGACATTTAGAGTCTGGAGATGTATCTGACGATGACATTGTCTGATGCAGCTTGTTCAAACCAGATCTGGGTGAAAAACTATCTGCCACAAAGTCCCCTGCTAGTGATGAGAAATTCTGAAATTAAAGAGAAACAAAATCATTACCATGCGTTTAACTTAACTCTTGCTAATCAACTAAAATTATACAAAAGTAATTTCATATACAGTGGACCCTTGACTTACAGACAGCTTGACTTACAGACTTTTTGAGTTACAGACTTCTCTGGCCGCAAAATTTAGGTTTGACTTGCAGACTGAGATTTGACTTACAGACCAGAAAAAAACCAAAATGGAACAAAAACAGCCTGTTACGGGATTAATCAGTTTTCAATGCACTGTAGGTCAATGGAGACTTGACTTACAGACTTTTTGACTTGAGAACTGCCTTCCAATACGGATTAAGTTCTCAAGTCAAGACCCCACTGTACGTACTTTTACAGTAGGGTTGGAGAACTGAGGCCCTTCACCCCTTTTGTAGTTATTAATTTCCACAATCCCTCCCTGCTATTCTATCCAACAAATGATGTAGCCCACATCTCAGTCTGTCCTACAGGCATCACCCTGGCTTTTTTCTTTCATTAGACCACCAGTTCACCCAACGACAGCTGGATTTGACGTATTACAATTTGCTCTTCAAAGTCAGTTGTCAGTTTTGCTCAATGGCCAAAACCAAATCCTAATCCCCCAAAATAGCAATCCATAATGAAACCTTTACTTAAGTTAGGCAGTTAGGACAGCTGCCTCGCTCGGACCCCTGACAGGCCTTGGGGAAATATCACCCTTGGCAAGCGTGCCTCTGAGCTTGAACCAAGCGCCCTCTTCACCACCCATGAGAGCCCGTTCATAAGGGAAGACTCGGAACTCTTCTTACACGACCGGTGGAAAGGAACGGCTTTGCCGCGAAGGAAGGGCCGCCGCCGCCCGCCTTCTCCTTTTGAGGGAAGGAGCGAAAGGACCAGACGACCAACAGCGGAGAGAGGAGAGGGGGAGGCGAGAAGCCAAGCCAAGCGCCAGAGAGGACCAAGCCTCGAGTGAGGCGCAAGGCTCACCCCGCGCGCCAGCGGAGCGTCCCCGGCGCATCCCCTTTCGGTCCG